ACTACTGTCCGGTGTGGTTCTGGCGCCGAGGGTGGTTGGCGCGGGGTGAAAATCGGGAAAAACGAGGCTGAGAGGGGGAGGGGGCGGGAAACGACGACGTACAGAAGACTAATCGGTCGTGGCGTATCCCTGATTCCGCTAGATTTTCGAACGCGCCAGAAAAGTTGCCGGTACGAGAAACATTTTTGGCAGCCGGTTGGCATATCGGCACGCGGTGTCCGGATATCGTGAATGGACTAGCTCGTAGACGGTGGAAGAGAGAGAGAGAGAGAAATATTCAGTTCTCTCAAAACTTTCCTTGATTTATGAGAGTTCATTATTATTTTCGCGCGACCGGAATGATCACGCCCCCCTATCCCACTATTCGCGAAAATCGAGAACTACTAGAATAATGGAATTCTTTTTTGTTCCAGCCTATACCCATCATCTCCTCGTCTGTCCTTGATTAATAACGTTATAGCGGCCGGGCAATCATAATTTATCAACTAATAATATTAATGTTTTGACGAGAGTTTCAAATTGTGAGTTATAGTCTCGTACAGTAAAAATTCCGACACAAGAAACTCGAAGAAAAAGAGTCCAAAAATAGACCGAGAAATGTGACTTTCTGCATAATCATCGATACGCGTGTATCGAAAATAATCGATAATCGTCGGTGTCAAGTTTCGTTCGTTTATCTCATTCGACACGCTCGAACCTCGCTTCAAGGTCCCATTTTCAGTAACTAGCGACGGAGGTTACAGAGAACACACTACTACGCTTACTTCTTACCGTAAATAAACACGAACGAAATTGGAAGGAAAGAAATCGCGGTTAAGCGTGAAACTCGTTCGCGCGAGATGTCACGAAAGAGGAGGAGGAGGAGGACACGGAAAAAACGGAATCAGTAGAGTCGGACGGTTACGTAGTTACAGGTTGGTTAGACTCGCGGTTAAGATGGACGAGGCGGCGTGCTACGAGATCTTATCCGATCGCAGCAGCGGCCACTGAATCATCCGCTTTGAATAGGGCTTCGCTTCACTCCCTATATTATACCTATAGGTACTAACCTTCTACCTATGGCCATGCGCGCGCGCTCGCGTTCACGATGTAGCGTCTCCGAAGCAAGAGGAACGAAGGGAGATGGAGCGAGAGCGAAGGGAAACCCAGGGGACGGGACAGAGATCGAGCTATAGCCTATATAAATGCGTTATACAGGAGAAACCTTGGTGCGCACTAAATTACCAGGCACGACACTGTCACACCACGTTCCCGCGGCTCGTAGACCCAGCCACCTTGCAACTCACAAGTCGCCCTCTCTCTACCTGGCCATGACTTACAAGTCGGCGATAGCACTAGCTACCACAGTCTTAATCAGCATAAATCATACCCGACAATGCGCAACTGACCACCTTTGAATCCACACCACCATCTCTGCGAAAATGGGAACCCGATCTCTTCGTGTGCGCGGCTATCGTTTCGATTCACACGAGAATTTCTTTTGAAATTCGCGAAAAGGAAAAAATTAATGAAATACGTAAAATATCGTATAATGAAGAGAAAGTTCTAATAAACGTGGATAAAAAAGTTATTACTTTCGAAGTTGGATAATAGGTAATTAATTTTTTGTTTCGATTGAGTTTCTTAATTTGAAATATTCTTAATTTTTCTTTTGCGTATTTTTAAACAGAGAAATCAGACTTTCTTTCTTATATCTGATATGATATATAAAACGATTTTTGATTTTTAAATTATATAATTTTTATAGTATATAATAATTAATAAATTTAACAATTAATGGTTAAAATAAATCTTATAATACTTTTGAATTTGAAAAAAAAAAATAAATCGTCTTTAGAGTTTTCGAAATCATCATATTTTCAAACAAATTCTTTAAGATTCTAATTCAAATATCGTTTTACGAATATTTACTATTTAACTTGTCTCTTACCGTAAGTATCAACGAAAAGGAGTCATAAATTAGTCATGTTACGAGGAACAGGGATGCTTAAGTTCACGAAGATTTCGGTGCAAATAGAAGATCTATGGCGGAATTCAGGTCTGGATTAGAAAGCTCGTTGGAAATAAATTCGAAATCAGTAGACGTCCTTTCAAGTTGCGTAAAATATTCGGTGAATCGTGGCACGTGATCCTAACTGTCATGTAATCTTAAAATGGCCGCAGACACTTGTGCCCGAGAAAAATGAGACAGGATTAGCACGCGCGCATCAAACTTATGGCCGCGAGATTGCCGGTGCGCCATCTGCTTCGCTTTTTCCACCGAATTGAAATCTTGCTGATGCGTTCGAGCTCTCTCCCGCGCGTGCGCACGTAGTCGCCTTGAGGTCGCATCGTCCATCTTAACAGCCACGCTCGTACAGTCATTACGCGTGAAATCCAAACGTTGCAAATAACCCCGCCAATATGAAATCCTGTTTTCTAACTAAATTCAAAATTGCAGCCTTTCGTCAAGACCACCGTCTTTCCCGTCTCGAGGCACTTCCACAACTCGCGATCAATACAATCACGAAAGAACAACCGATTACTTCGAGAAGCACGATCTTCTTCAAGTACACCCATCGAACAGTGTAATTTTCGATCCTTGCAATCGATCTTTGGGAAAAAATACATGGAATTTTACCGAGAATACACGATGCTAAACAACAACAACAACAACAACAACAACAAGAGAGGTAATGGAAAAAAAAATATTAAACGTACCTAAGATGATTATTAACCCTTCGAAGAACGCCGTCGATATGGGAATCTCATCTTCTGTTTATAAAATTTTTTGTATATTAGAATGGTTAAATTCTTAAAGCGGTTTAAATTTACTTTATAGAAAGGCAATGCGTGGAAGAGAGAAACAAAATTTTTTACGCCGTTCATGATGGGTTAAGAACGCTGAGCCTCAGAAACGAAAGAATTTAATCCGATAAACGCGCAATACGGCGCAACAGCGCGTGTTTCGCGAATTATAGGATACGCTCGTATATCGTAACCGCCGTGCCATTACTCATAAAACAACGTCTTGCGCCTAAGAGAGATTAGATCAAGAGCCGCATGTGAGTAAAGGCAGCGTCTAGAAAATCATTAATATTGATCAGGCAGATGATTGATAACTTCATTAACACGTTACACGCGCCGATTCAATTAATTCCTCGTAACCGTTCTCGCTCAACGCTGGCTCGCGCGCGCGAAATAATTTACGATTCAAGAGAGCTCTTCGCGTTTTTTTCACGCTCCAGTCAATTAGCGATAACCTTTCCCGTGGACGCGGCCGATTTCTAACGGCCGAGCTTCTCTCCTCCCCTCTCACCTCTCGCCTGTCAACCCGTAGACGAGTCTGTGATTTACGGCGGCGTTAATTAATCGC